AATAAATCGGCTTCGATCACTTCATTGGACGCTGTACCCAAAGAGAAATTGGCCACGAAGTACCACAGAACTGCGAGAGGTTGCGCATTGGGTTCAGTGCATTTCGAATCGTAGAGCGGGTGACATAAGACGTCTCCATGGGTCTTTTCCAATCGAATTATGATCGGCCCCAGTATCGACGCGGAACCTCACCGAGCAGGAACTCAAGAGAACCCTGGCGAATGCTCGACCCCGGATCTGGTTCGACTCCCCGATCGCGGAGCTTTGAATTGCCAGAGCATTGAAACTTTCCGTGGGCTTCTGAAGATAATTCCGACACACTTTCTTGATATGGCCTTTCTTGCGGCAGAAATTGCACGTGGCACGGAGGAAACGGTAACTACTGCGAGAGTGACTCACCACAGCTTGCGCAGTGCTCCAATCCGCCCCCCGAACCTGCCGTATTCTGATACCAGCCTGGAGAGCCCGGCCTGCGGCCGCGCTACAATTACGGCGTCAGTAGTTTCACGACGATACTAACTCCGAGTGTCATAATGAATATCTCATGACGGAAATGCGTAGATCGAGCGATTGCTCAAATTAGTCGGAATATCTACGCTGCGGATGAGGGCCTAATTCCGATAGCGCTCAATTAGTAGACAGACTCGACAGTAGAGAGGAGTCGAATCTCAGGTCCTCCTGCCATTTTCAGAGACTCGGATCCATCGGGACCAGGAATGTATGGACGGGACTTCGTTATCGAGAGCGCGGGAACATTTGAGGATGCCTGGCGGGCCGTCGCGACGGGCGAAGTGACACAAGTGGAAGGCAGCGCGAGAGGCGAGGCAGATCCCCGCGAGTGGGTTATTTCGGCGAATGCGGAATCAGATGCTCAACCTGAGCTAGCTGCCCTGACTCCACGTCGACTACCGATGCTCTGAGGAGAATTTCAAGAGTTTCTGAAGACTTTCGCGATCCCGTACAGTTGCGCTCTATTAGTAGGGGGATCATCGAACCTTCCTTGATCACGGTTGCCGCCTCTTTTCGAGACGAACCTCCCGCGAGTCGGATTCGGAAATGGGGCAGAGGAGGGCCTGGAAATCCCCGCGAAGAGATTTTATCAATAAGGGCGCATGTCTCCGTATTTGTGAGGCCCGAGGCTTCGAAATGTGAGCCTGCCATTGGCGGGAGCGGTTGAATTTACCGAGTCTTCCAAGTAGTCCAAAGCGGCGCAGAAATCTTCAAATGCAAATGGCGTCAAACGGAGACTGTTGCTGAAGCGTCGCATCACTTCATTAACGTTTAGAGCTCTCATCACGAACTCAGGCGGGAGTAACAGATCCTTGCAGGATGGAGGCAGGGCCGGGGCTGGCTTCTCGCGATCCTGGGAAGGAGAGAGGATACAGCGTGACGGAGCTCTGGGCCTGAGGAGGCGAAATTCCAATCATATCTCTGTCCTTTCAAACCCACCCGCAGAAACACCGGAGTGACGGGTCTCCGATGAGTTTCCTGACGCTCCTCGGGTAAACTCTTCTCCAGCGCACCTTCTGTTCCTGAATGGAAAACGATCATGGGATGATGTGTCGGTTCCCGAATCCAGGGTATCAGATCTCGGGCAATAGATGCTCTGGTCTATCCTGGACCACTCACCCTCTGTATAGTCCTCGACGGCGTCGCGATCGTCGTCGGAGGATGCTTTCCAGGAGGCGTAAACATCTTGACACAGGCCATCGCGCAGCCTCTGTCTGTATTGGACAGTGTTCGCGTGACCGCCAGCATAGAGATACCGCGGTGTTTTCGTGAAGCCGCCTGATCGGGACTTCAGCGGTCAGCCTCGAGCTCGCAACGGTCCTCGCGTAGACATATCGTCTCACCGGGAGAAGAACAAGGTATTCACTTGCGCTGATGAGGAAGGAGGGGGAGTCGGATAGATCGGTGCTCTCTCGCCGTTCAAAGCGATTCCCAGGCCACAGGCTGGAAATTAGGGCTCGCATCCTAAATCGAAGAAGAATACAGCCATGTACCCGCTCATTAAACGTCTGACAACATTTGCCGGACACTCAGAAAAATGTGGAAGGGACAGCGCACAGATGAATTGCGTGGAACCGCGTTGAGAACCTCTCCAATAAGTCTAAATTTATCATAAGCTCAGGAGAAGAGCGCAATGTGGATCCGCGAGAGCGTAGCACAGGTCTCGTCGCGGGTTGGCGCACCTCTTAGACTCTGGGTCGGAACCCGATTTTATTTCTTACGTCAGATACGGAGCCGTTCGAATGGTATGAGCAGGGGTCAAGGTCGATACGCGAAAATTCGGCTGTGAGAATACTCGAACAGTTCGGCTTTGACAAAACTCTAGCTGGCTTGACTCCAAGTTCCCGAAGGTGCTCGCCTGTCACCACGTAGAGCTCCTTGGAGGTTTCCCAATGCTGATTCGAGGTCTTATAGGTTTCAAATCGAGTCAGGAAATGGAATGGAGCTCTTCATTTTGCAGACGATAACCTTCTCTTTCCTGCCGAACATTTTGATCGCATCAGAGGTTCGTGCATCGCATCGGGAGAGCTTGGGAATGAATTCTAGAGAAAAAGGCGCGAAATGACGCCCGCAGTGTAAGGCTTGATCTACGTTGAATCTCAGGGGTCCCTCCCCGGCTCAGTGAATGGAGGCCGATCGGACCTTGGCATCCCTATGATGCCGCTCTTCGATGGTTCGCATCACACAACTGGACCACATGAATGCTGAGAGTATCTTACAAGAATACGTGTGACATCTGCCGCGACAGTGGACGCAACTCGACGCAGGGGACGTAACCGGATTGCTCCTGGAAATCAACTTGATTGAAGAACTGCATTTTTTTTGATCCGCATCGACAGGTTTCGAAGAAACCAGGGTCCGAGATGAAGGACACGTCGGAGGAAATACAGCAGCTCCGAGTCAAGTTGCCGGTCGATAAAACACGCGCCCCCCCCCAACCACCACAAGCGCGAAGCAGTTGGCTGCTCTCCTTAGTCCCTAAAGGTCTCCCGGTGGGCGAGACATGGAACGGACGCTACGATCGAATGAATGCATTTTTCTTTGAAGTTGCGTTCACCAGGGAAATTCGGTTGACGGAAGGCCGGATGAAGAGAAGAATCTCCCGCACAGACAGCCGAGTCCTAATCACTAATCACAATCTGGGGAGCTCCGAATACGCCGGAGGGAAGCCTGCCGATTTTTGAGTTGCTGTCGCTGAGATTTTCGATCATTCATTGCAGATTTCTCGGGGCAAGCCACCACCGGGAGACCTTTAGGCGGGAGCGTTACGCAGCTGAAGTCCCCTGAAAAAAGCCAGAGCTGTGCTCACCTTATCTATAAGTGTCCCTGGTCTGGTAGCGTGTGCGAATTTTGTGAAAAACCTCTCGATTTGGCGGATTAAACGGTCCAAAAATCATTTTCTCTTGCTGCGGTCGTGATCTAATTGGACCGAGCGTGGTCAAACGAGCGTCGATTCGTCAAAGCGAAATCCGTACCCAACGCTCGGGAGCTCTTGGCGCCCAGACTACGGAGAGCAGCCACGGCTGCTGCTGCTACTGCTTCGCTTGTGGTGGTGGTGCGTGTTATCGACGAGCAGCTGACTGGTTTGCCTAGAGCTGTTGTATTTCCTCCGACGTCTCCCTCATCATACGCCCTCATCTTTTCGGAATCTGTCGATGCGGATCGGGAAAATGCAGTTCTTCAATCGCTAACTTGAAATCCAGGAACAATCCAGGTACGTCCCAGTGGCGCCCCCCTGCGTCGAGTTGCGTCTACTGTCGCGACAGATGTCACACGTAATCTTATAAGATATTCTCAGAACTCTTGTGGTCCTATTGTGTAATGCTAACCTTCGGAAAGCGGCATTATGGGTATAGCGAGTACTGATTCGCCTCTATCCACGGAGCCGGGGCAGGGACCCCTGAGATCCGACGTCGACCGAGCCTCACACTGCGAGCGTCGTTTCGCGCCTTTTCCTCTGCAATTTATTTCGGGGCTCTCTTGATGGGATGCACGAAGCTCTCATGCGATCGCGATCAGAATTTCCGTCAGGAAAGAAAAGAGTATCGTTTGAAAAATCGACAAAACACTTTGGTCCTCCGACCCGATTTCAATCCAAAAAGCCCTGAATCCCCATTGGGAAACTTCCCGAAAGCTCGGCGGGCTGTTAGCCGAGCACCATCGAAACTTTGGAATCAAGCCAGCTCGAATTCCCGGGAGCCGAACACTGCGAAAATTCCCGTAGCTTGCTTTTCGCGTATCGACTTCGACTCCGAGCTTTTCGATCGAGCGGCTTCGTAACTGGAATGACGAATGGAATTGAGTCCCGACCTAGAGTCTTCGACAAACGTCGATTCGCGACGAGAATTTCACCACTCTCTGGAGTTTCGCGCTCATCACCTGGGCTTTATGACATATGTAGACATGTTGAAAGAGGACCTCAGCGCAGTTCCACGAAGATGATCTGTGCGCTATCCGTTTCACATTTTTCTCAAAGTCTGACAAATGTTGTCTGACGTTGAATGAACGAATACATTAGCACATTCTTCTTCGGTTCAAGATGCGTGTCTTGAACTCCTGAAGGCCCAAGAAGGGTTTTCGCTGGCCGAGGAACCGCTTCCTAGGGCGAGGGAGCAGGGAGCCGATCATTCCCGAGAACCTCTCTTCGCGACGACCGCAAGTCACACTCTTGTCTTCTTCCAGTGAAACATGTCGACGCGCGGACGATCGCGAGCTCGAGGCCGACCGCCGAAGTCCCAATCTGGCGGTCGCGGCTCCACGAAGAAGCCGCGGTACCTTTATGCTGGCGGTCACGCAAGCACTGTCCAATACAGACAAAGGCTGCGGGAGGGCCTGCGTCAAGATGCTTACGCCGACACAGAGACTGATTCTGAGCCCTCGGAGAGTGACGTAAGCTTTTTGAAGGGTTGTGTAGGGATCTAGAGGTTATCGGGGGGAAAACCGACCTCAGCGAGCTTCTTCACCGGCTCTTATTATTTCAATATTTCATTCTGCTCATTCCCTAGCTGGTCGACTTCGATATGAAGTACGAAGATGCCGATCTCACCGATAACATCAAGATGGAGATGGACTCTTGGAAAGCATCGTCTGACGAGGATCGCGACGATGACGAGGATTATACAGAGGGTAAGTGATTCGGTACCGATCTGAGCCCTCATTTCCGGAGTCCATTGCCGATTGGCATTGGGAACTCTTGAGGCGCGTCTTTTATGAGAATCATCTGATCTTCATGCTCGATACAGGTACAGAACGAGCGCTGGAGAAGAGTTTACCTGAGGAGCGTCGGAGAACTCACCGAAGACCCGTCACTCCGGTGTTCCTGCAGGTGGGTCTGAGGGGACAGAGTTCTGATCGGAGCTCTCTCTCTCCTCCGGTGAATTTAGAGCTCCGGCTCGCTCAGTTCGGATTTCCTTTCCAGGATCGCGAGAAGCCCGCCTTGATCCTGCCCCCATCCTCCGAGGATCTCTTGCTCCCACCTCAGTATGTCATGAGAGCTTTGAACGTTTATGAAGTTATTCGTCGCTTCAGCAACACTCTCCGTTTGACGCCGTTTACATTCGAGGACTTCTGCGCCGCTTTGGACTACTCGGAACACTCGGTGAGTTTTCCACCTATTTTTTTTCTGCCGATTGGACGCTCGAATTCTGACGCCTCCTGCTTTGTGAATGGGGAGACGTGTTCCCTCCTTGATGCAATTTTATCGCTGGAATTTTCAGGTGCTCCTCAGTGAATGCCACATCAGTATCCTGAAAGCGGTGCTTCGGGAAGCCGACTCTCTCAATACACACTTTGGTCCTCAAGATCTGAAAGATTCCATCAACATCCATTTTTATCTCATCGACCATGTCACTTGGCCAGCTGCTCTCCAACTGTATCTCCTCGCTGATCCGTGAGTAACCTCATCCCGATTTCCGGGTCCGACACGGGGAAGTTCGTCTTGAAGATGGGCGACAGTCGTGAATCAATGGGAGTCATCAAATGACTTTGTCTTGCAGCGAGCATCGACCAACTCTGCTTTCATTCCTCGGCTTGCCCGCGGATCACGATGATGCGAAAGCCTCAGATTTGACATATCAGGTGACTAAACACGCGGGGGCAAAGAACCTCCTCATCATTAGCTCCGATAATCTATGCAGCGGAATCGAAGAGAGACCTGCTAAGGTTGTGAAACGTTTCCAGTCCGAATATCCGCTGAATGTTGGCATCGAATGTCGGCTCGATATCTTGGAGTTCCTCGTCAATCAGTTCCTGAGTACAGCCGCCGTTCGAGACGAGACGATCCGAGAGGGAGTACCAGACCACGACGACCACTGTCGGTAGGTGATCCTCCAGGCCTTGGCTACAGATGATCGGACTTCCCGATCGAGACGCCATCGGAACCGAAGCCGGTTGAAACTTATCATCCCTTAACCTCTCTCGCAGGGTGTGCCACAAACTGGGTGATCTCCTCTGTTGTGAACGATGTCCCGCAGTTTTCCACTTGGGCTGTCTCGACCCGCCTCTCGAAGAGGTAAGATCTGACTGCTCTCGTTCGAAGCACGAAACGCTTCCTTATGATCCTTAGCCGTAATCGGTCGCATTTCCTGCAGGTCCCATCAGAGGAGTGGATATGTCCGGTGTGTGAAACGAATTCCGTTCCGGGAGTCACCGACTGCATTACTGATATGGAGAGAGCTGGACTATTAGCCCGTCATGCAATGCTCGGATTTGACCGCGAAGGTCGCAAATATTGGTTCCTGGCGCGACGCATTGTAGGGTAAGCCGAGTCAGGGTGGGCGTGGGGCACTTGCGTCTGCAGTATTTCATCTTCGCGAAGAAAGGGAGCAGCTGGTGGGCTAGACCAGGCTCCCGGAGAGGGAGGGGACTGAGGGTTTCGAGATAAGCCTTTCATATATCTCCCGGTGCGCTTGGAAATGATTATTTGCCCCATTGCAGAGAGAACGAAAGCGAGAACGATGTCCGTTACTACTCAACCGTGACCCAGCTGCATGAGCTCCTGTGTTATTTCGACGCCGACGACTACGAATCCGAGCTCGTGAGAGCCATCAACGAGCAGCTGCCAGAGATAGAACGTCAGGTAAGCTTCACCCTCGGTGCATTTGTCTCGGCAATACTCACTCCCGGACCCATGGGAAGAAGCACGAATCTTTCGTATACGTATTTCTTCAAAGACCAAATTACCTTGCAGATGAAAATCACGATGGATCTCACGAGCGCTGCCAACAAGACTTCTAGGAAGAGTTGGTTAGAGGAGAATCAAGCAGACGTGGAAACAAGGATCAAAGTCCATAACGAGAGCCTCGTAAGTTTTTCTCTCGCTCGTTCGAGTCTATTGCGGCGGAGAGCAAGCGATGAATAAAGATTTTCGATATCTACAGGAGCTGATGGACATTAAACCAGTCAAGGAAGAACCGGTTGAAATGCAGACCCGTAGCAAGACAGCCGCTCAAAGTCAAGCACCCTTCAAATTGGGTTCGGAAGGCAGCTTCAAAAGCTACTCCAAAGTCTACACGAATCACACTCTCGCTTTGAATAAGCATCAGCATGCGGAGGAGAGAGACAAGAAACGCCATTTATCGCACAAATTCTCATTGACGCCGGCGTCTGAGTTCAAATGGGTTTTCGGTCCAAGTGAGTGCCTATGGAAAATTCATCGTCGCCTATCATCTGGCTCTTGGTGCGAAAGCTCGATCGGAAGCCATTTTTCCCGGAAATGATCGTCTCCCTAAATTTGCGCCCCTCATATCAGGTCAAACCAGCTCCGTGACGGATCTGACATCCGTCCTCGGCACGATACGGAATACGATCATTCACTTGGAATCTCAGCTGGGGAGCTGTTTGTTCCATCCTCAATGGGCTTCGAGTTTCCGCGCAGAATGGCTGCAAGCGGTAAACAAAAGCGCGAGGACTCGGGACTACGTCAAAGCACTCCAGGTCAGGCTTTTTTTGGAGCTGAAAAGTTTTGATCGGTCGCTGATGTAGAGGAATTTCTCGACGTTCGTGAAGATTCGTGTTTTCTCAATCGACGATTATTCTTTCGGAATCCGCAGCTGCTCGAGAGCGTGATCAAACCTTGCGCGCTAGTCTCGTCTTGGACAGAGTGCCTGGGGCATACCTTCCTCCGACGGACTACGCTAGTCGAGCGCGAGGAGAAGAAGAGGCAGGACAGGAAGGAACGCCGAGGAATCGCCGGATTCATGGCTCTCTATTCGGGAATCACAGAGGATGGCGAAGATGTGAGCGATCGGTCATTGTGGTGTAAATACACCCTGGGTCTGAAACACCAGGTTTGGAAGCAGAAAGGCGAGGAGTTCCGGATTACGGGTACAGGTGGCTGGTACTGGAATTCCCGTACAAGGGTAGTCCGTCTCTCGCCGATGGGGAAACAAGGCCTCCGTGCAGGCCCGGCCAAAGTAAGCATCTACATTCCGAGCACGGACTCCTACCGTACCGTGGACGCGGCGAAGCTGGAAAACGCGTCTGTGACTAAATCATCGGGCGAGATCGCGGAACTGACTGGACCGAGCTTGATCAGAGCGATCTGCGATCAGCACACGCCAAAAATTGAGGAAGTCATCGATGTTGGGGAAGCTCTCCTCGACCCGAAAAGGAAATTCTACCCAAGGTACGACTTGTTTTCAGAAAGATTCCTCAGCGATCGAATCATCGGCGCTCCTCGTTTTGTTGTTCTCTCAATCGCTCCGTCAATTTTCCAGGCTCACGGCGGGGAAAGCGAGTCTAGACTCCTTGCTGGAGAAAAGAGTGAATTTCGGAAAAGACGTCAAGAAGGAGACCGGAAAATGCGGCTCCGAGAAAATGCTGCCCCCCGGTTTGACGTGTTACAGCTGCACGGAAGCCACCCGTAAACAATGTTATTCGCCGTTGTGCCGAGCCCACGTCAAGCTGGAGCTCGAGAGCAGCAAACGAGGTGATACCAGACAGAAATTCGATCTCGGACTGCGTCAAGGACTTCAGAAGAGGACCGTACGGAAGAAGACCCTGCCTCCAATCCAAACATTCACAACGAACCTCGGGAAACGACGATCGGTGCTGGTACTCGATAAGGTGGACTACAGAAGATTATCGCGGAAAGGCGGCCTAGGCGAAGTTCAAGGCTTCAATTATCAATCTAAGCCCAACAGTGAGGTGTGGAACTACGGGTCGTCTCCAAGACCGGTCCTCCGCACCACGTGGCGGTGGCGGAACACGCAGAGTCTCCACAACAGCTGCAGCTGGATAGCTCTCCAATTGAGGATCCTGTGGCATTGTCTGAAGTGGGACGATATCGCCATGAAACCTCCGCCCGGCGGATCCAACACGGTGACAACCGACTCTCAGGTCGAGACGAGTGAACTTGTGAAGCGTCGCGATCTCCCTCCCTATTTCCTACGATCCGAGTACCTCGTGAGGAAGATCACGGTCCCGATCGACCTGCCGACAAAGCCGCGGGAGAAAACGACTCCACAGCGGAGTGGTCTCCGGGAGAGACGACGTCCGGAATCGCCCCAGAACAAAGGACCGCAAGTGAGTTTTCTGGATTTCCTCGGGAATGCCACCGAGATTTCCGATGATGGCATCCTCGCTTCGCCGATAAAATAATCACGGATTTTCTCCCAGATAAGCGAGCTCTGGACACCTGAGGAACATCTGGAAATCTGGGAGCTGAAGATTTTCCAGGAAAAATTGGAAAAGCAGATCAAGGACCGACAGCAGGAGAAAGTACGCGTAAGGATTTTTTGTTTCTCTCTCAGTTTCGACATCCGCACCGGCTGACTTCCGATGACCTACGACAAGCGTTGCTATTCGTTACAGATAAGCACACCCACGACAGTTGGGGAACGAATTCAATTGGTGCACATTACCCCGAGAACCACGGTCGTCTCGAGCGGAGTCACAACCCCGATCAACTCGAGCAGCATCATCGGGGTGAAAGTTGGTGAGAATCGCCCCGGACTCGCTCAACTTCTATTTTTTCCATCTGTTTGTCCTTCGCGATCTCTTTGGAGGAGACGAAGGATTCGCCGATCAATTCGATACAATGCCGATATTCCCCGCAGTTGGACCAGGAAAAAGTCCGGCGGAGATACGAGCAACCATGGAAGCCAACCTTCGCGCTCAACGCCTCGCACATCAGAACAATAAGAAAATACTGTCAGTCACCTCGGCTACCACGAATACCACCGGAACCGTTGTCGTTAGCGGTGGCGGCATCTTCAGCGGACAAGGCGGGACCGTCATGCAGACAACAATCGGGGGTCTCGGTGTGCGAAGAATCGTCGCGCAGGCCGGGCAGGGACAAACAGCTCAAGTGCAAACTCTTAGGAATGCTGGTCCGAGACAGGTGGGTCACGTTAGTTGGCCTTGTCCGCCTCCCGGACCGATGTCCTCGCTTTCGAGCTGGGCTCCCGTCGGATCCTTGAACTGGACGTAATATTCTACTCTCTAGTCTCATCCATGACTCTCAATTGTTGCAGATCATTATACGCCCTGCCGCTGCTAATGCGACAGTCATCGCATCTGGTTCAGGCACTCGAATGGTATCTCCTACGATCGGAGCCGTCATTAGGCAAGGAGGAGTTCGTCCTCAGGTAGGTCTCGAGCTAGATCCGATCCCCGAGGTCCTTTCCGGGTTCCGAGAACCTAGACGATGTTGAGCCCTCTCATTCATTGCAGGTCCAGATCGTTCAAGGCCCGAACGGCCAACTCACAGTTAGAGGACTCCAGCCGGGTCAGCAACTACTCAAGTTGCCTGACGGACGACTCCAACTTGTCAACATCAACCAGCAAAAACCGATGACCCTGCAAGCCGCAGGACAGCCCGTCCAGAAGATCATGATCCAGGCCGCACCAACCGGTCAGCCAGGAGCGACCGGTCAGAGGTTCATTCAGATACGTCCGGCCTTGCCCGTCGGAACACCGCAGTTGCAGCCTACCGCCGTTCGTGCTGTGAAGATCATTCAGGCTGCCCAGCCCGGGGCCTCTCCTGTCGTGAGTTTCGAACTCGAGCTCCTCGCACGGAGGACTACTCCCTTCGGATCCCCGAAAGGGGGACATTTCCTTCTACCGAGCGCAAACTTACAGCTCATGGGTGTTTCACAGGCCGGCTCAATAATCCAAACCGGATCTGGTCAAACCGTCCAAGTGGTACAAGCGAGTTCCGGTCAGGCAATGGTGCTCAATGCCGGTACCGTACTAACGACCAGCGCAGGACAAGGATCCGGTGCCACCACGATCGTCCATCCGGGCGGAGGTCAGCTCCCGCAAAAGGTGCGTGTGCTCGAACGTCTTCCAAAGCCTTGAAGCGATTGGAAATCTCATAAGCAGCCCGTCGAAAAACGTTTTTTTTCTGCTTTCCGTTTCCTCAGGTTGTCCTGAGTTCCTTGGGTCAGACTCCGCAGCTCATAGTGACCAACGCTCCATCATCGAGTGTTCAACCGATTAAAACCGAAATCAAGAAGGAAGTCGCTCCGAATTCTTCGGCGCCGACCCCGATGACGCCGAAGATAATTGTGGCTTCTCAGCCGTTGGGTCCAAAGGTACTTTCCTCGGATCTCTGATTCTCGGGATTAACTAAGGCGATATAATCGAGCTTGCTCATTCCTTTCAGCTGGTGACGAACACTGTCGCACCGGTGCAAGTTGTTCGAGCTTCTCCGGTGGCGGCGATCAAAAGCGGCGCCAACGCTCAGACCATCGGGGCAGCTGGTGCCACCGCTCCGGGCGGCAGCACCACCTTTGTTCTGGCTCCTGCCGTTACTCAACAAATCGCGAAGCAGGTAAAAAGCGATGGAAAACTTGTGAATAAAGCCGGAACGGGTGAGGCGAGCTCGCTGCAGACCAAAGAAGTTCTCAGGCCGAATGGTCAGCGGACCTCTCGTAACTAGCTTCGATTTTGAAGGCCTCGGGGGATCCAACGAACACTCATGAAAGTGAGGTATTGGATCCCCTCCAGAGTGGTGCTCAAGCCACTCGACCTCCAACGCCAATTCAAAATCGATCGAAAGTCCCGTCACCTATAATGCCTTTATTAAAGGTGGCTATCTCATTGTTGTCCGCGCCGTCCGTTGCCTGTTTCAGATATTTGGTATACTGCCGAGATCGTCTTCAATTCTAGTAGTCCGACCTCACGTCAAGAGATTCATTGCAGAAACAAACGTCAGTGCTATCCCAAGTGGTGCTCCCAACCCCCGTAAAACCTGAGCCCCCCACTGAAGAAACGGCGGATGCCAAGGCCTGTGATCAAGTCAAAGTCTCGGTAGAAGCGGCTGCACCCACAGTCTCTCCGGCGACTGTGCAAGCCCCGATCACAAACAGATCGAAGCAAACAAGTGAACAGGTTGGAGCGGCTATCGTCGTCCCCCAATCGGAGAAGGAAGAGAAACGAGTACCTCCAACGCCTATCCCGAAGCCGAAATCGCGAGATCCCGAGAGTCAGCGGAGATTCCAACGGAGCAAAGTGAGTTCTCTTCCTCCCCGGTTCGTGTATGAGATCAAGATCGGTTTTTTTTCTCCGGTCCTGCCGCTCATCCAGTGCTGATTGCTGTAGTCGGTTGGCAGAGGCCTGCTGATGTAATTCATGTCGGCGAATCTCGTTTTCTGTGGTGGCAGACTCTATTCTTTCTATCGTTCGAGTTATTCGGTATTCGGCAACACTGGCATATGCTCCTCTTCTAGGCTCTGGTTAACCGCCATGCTGACATTCTTCGGAAAAGCATCATGCGCAAAAGAGCCCTCATGGAGAAGAAGCTTGCCCTACAAATTGAAAATGAGGTTCACATGGAGAAACAGAGATTGGGTCTGCTGAAAACAGTTCAGCCACAGAAGCAGCAGCCGACGAAGTTTGCCACCAATGTAAATTGCGGTCAATTATTATTGTCATCGGTCAGATGGAATATTTTTATGTCAATTCCCTAGTGTGCCCTCATGTCGCCCTCATTCGTGCGAGCTCTCGTCGGTAACCTTCGCTTTCGATGCGAATGTCCCCGACGACGCTCGACGAACAAAGATCTAGCCTGGAGTTATATAGTTGGGTGGACGAGATTAGGATTACGGAATTCTCGCTCTTTTCAGTCCCCATCCCCGGCAACGAGCAATGGCACGCAGCTCAAAAGCTCTTCACCCGCGGCCAAGAAGGTCCAACCGAATGCCTCCGTGAAACCAACGCAGCTCAAATCCCCTGGACAACCTGCGAGCAAGAAACGCGCGGCACCTGCTTCCAGCACCACCACTGCGGGTTTGCCTGTGAGAATCATCGGTCTCTCCCATAGTTATTTCGCATTGAGTTTTACTCAAGATTTGAGAGGAGTGAGAGCTAAAAGAAATGACGGGCGAATCGAGCAATCAGTATATTATCTACTAATCAATTCCAGAGTGCACCCTGTCCGTCGTCGTCTCCGAACAAGAAGAAGGCCCGAGTTGGAGCCACCCCCAGCACAGAAGACTCGACGGTTGGTCGCTCTGCATAACCATAAGTCGCTCTGCTCCTTCTTGAGAGTTGGCCGATTCCCCATCTAGAATCTGCCGCTCCCGTATCTCCAGATGGAAATATCATCTAATTCGATTCTCTTCCACAGGTGTATTGCATTTGCAAGCGGCGCTACGATCCCTCAAAATTCATGATTGGCTGCGATTTGTGCGAGAATTGGTTCCATATTGCATGTATTGGCGTTACAGAAGCGGAAGCTCAGAAGATGGATGGGTAAGACTGGATCTGCTGCGGTTTGCCTTTTCCATCGGTGTGTGTGAAAGGTCGAATAGCCTCTGGTCGGACTTGGCTTTGACGAATTCCTCCCCTGATCTTCCACAGCTGGGTTTGTCTGGACTGCAAGCAGAAGAAATCCGAAGCCGCGGTTGAATTGTTTTGCATATGTCGGACTCCATATGACGAGTCGCAATTCTACATCTACTGCGATAGTTGTCAAGGCTGGTTCCACGGTCGATGCGTCGGGGTGCTCCAATCGGAGGCCAGCAGCATCGATGTTTATATTTGTCCAGACTGTAGGGTGAGTTGAGCTCGTGATGATCCGCTTATGCTCGTGGCCCATACACATGGGGGTCTCGAAAGGAGTCTCTTACGATTACAAAATCTTCGAAGTCGGTTGCCTCCGATTCCAGGTGAAAACAGGAGAGGATGAAGAAAGCCTCCAATTAATGAGCAAGCCGTTGACCAAAGTCGATTTGGATAATCTCAAGAAGCTTCTGCTCGCCGTTCGGAACCATAAACAGGCTTGGCCCTTCAAAGAACCAGTGAACCGAAGACAAGCTCCCGATTATTATAAGGTAAGCATCGTATTGAGCATCGTATCCTTGTTTTTCGGTGAAATTCTCGCTGCAAGGCGCCCTTGTTCGACATTGATTTTATCTTCCACAGGTTATCAAGCACCCGATGGATCTCCGCACCATTGAGCAAAATTTGACTGCATCAAAATACACGACGCTGCAGCAGTTTGTGATTGACATGACTCTCGTTTTCGATAACTGTCGGTACTACAATTCGAAGGAGAGTACCTTCTATTCGTGTGCTGATCTCCTCGAGGCGTTCTTTGTACAGAGAATGAAGCTTTACAAGGAGGCTCTACAGAGAAGGATGTAGCTTCATCGATGACGATGGCTTGAGCCCCACTAGCAGAATGAGCGACTTCCTCGCTCGCTCCGAGATCCCTGTTCTCCGCGACGGCAACGCTAGAAACTCAGGACTGAGGCCCAGCTGTCAATGACGCCAGCGTCGGAAGAAAATCGGGAATCCCGATCGGTTCTACCTATCCGCGACGATTTCTACCCGACTCTGGACGCTCTTGGACATTTGTACCTTACGAGTTCGCTCGAGGAACTACAACGATATTCACTCATCCCCGCTATCTCCGCGAAACGGTGAACCCTCGGACCTCCTGTGGAGAGACAGCTCTGAATTTTCTCCGCAGATTGGTCCGAGATCCGTTGAGCTGGGAGAAAACAGCGATGCGCACAAAGCGTTCACGCTCCCTTCTTGAGGACTATCGAATTTCAGATCGTGTTCTATCGATCATAGCCCGCTGGGGACACAGCCCTCGAGGGGATTCGCAAGCATCCTGAAGTGGTGACCATCGATAGCAAGCAGAAACTTCGAATTCCGATCGCGTCCATGTGGATTCCTCATCTCTGGATACTTATCATGTAGCCACGGATCGCCCCGCATCGCCGTCCGTGTAGTTCTTGATTATGTTTTCGAAGCCCTGAGACGTTCGCTCCAGACTATGGATCGACTTGGGCGTCTTCCCGCCGCCCTCGAATGAGGGAGCTCATTTTGGCGGGCAGGCATCGCGGTTATCTCCAATTTTCAATCGATTGATTAATGTATAGTGTGTATCAAGAACTACTTTTCCTAAATGTACGAAGAAGAATGTAGACCTACGATAATTATGATGATGCCATCGACGAATATTCATGGATAGACATTGCAGCAGACGAGAGCCGCAACTCATTTCATTAAAAACACCATCTGGAGTCGGGCCGACGAGCAAAGAAGAAGAAGAGCATGGATGTGCTCTAACATTTGTACGGGTCAGTGAAATCATATAAAACAGTCGGTTCGTCAGCCTCCAGGAGCTCATGGCTTTTCATTCGAATCGAAGCAGCCCCCGCAGTCGAAGCTTTCTACCCGGAGCGCTCTGCGGTGGCAGACGTGATTTTCCCGCCCGATGCTTATGGAAACGTTCAATTGTACTCGAGGCGCTGTCCCGCGCGTTCAGCGAGGTCAAGAACTTTGTTTTTCAAAGTACAATGCGAGCCTGGGCCGCGTGGTCTACGTGCCGATGGTACGCCGGCCAATCTCTCAAACGAGGGTCCTCTCGTTCCGATTGGTGAACAGCGCCTCCTGGGAAGACTCGCTTGAATCTCCGCGAGAAACATGACCGTAATCGAAAAGCATTTTCCCGCAGCAATGCATGCTAACGAGAAATTGATTTTGTAATGTTATTCCCAAGACTACTTAGTATCAAGTATCGACGTTCACGCCTCCGACCGGATGGTGGCAATATCTAGGTAATCCTTTGGCGGGTGCGCCCTCCTCACCACGGTCGTGTGTCGTCGTGTAGTGACAACGAAAAGCGGTCTACACTTTCCACAAGAGCGACAGCAGCGCCATCGACGGAGACCACTCAGTTGCCCTTGGCCGTCTCCTTGCAGTCGTCCGCTCTAACTGATCGTGCCAGCCGACGTCGTTGCAACCCATTCTTCTCATCGTCCATCCCGACGTAAGACCGATCCAAACAATCGAAATGGCTGGGAACTTCAGCTACCTCACCCCCGAGCAGCAGGCTGAGCTGCGCGAAACCGCCAACAAGATCGTTGCCCCTGGGAAAGGTATTCTCGCCGCTGATGAGTCCACTGGAACCATGGGCAAACGTCTGCAGAGTATCGGCGCGGAGAATACGGAAGAGCTTCGTCGGAAATACCGGTATGTTTGAGCTGAAAATTCCGTCCCGGAAATCGGGGGATGATTCTCTCGCCGCTTCCGTCGTGTCTACGGGGCCAATGAACGGGTTAACGTCCTCTGAGAAGGTCTTCCATAAGGCATCGTTTTTCTGAACAACACTGATACTTCTAGTACGTTTCTTGCTGGACAGTTCGAGTTCCGAGCGCATGAATCTAGGATTGAACCCAACTGGGTAATCAAGATGCGATTCGATTCCTTTCCGAATACGAGATTCATTGGGAGCTCTTCCGCGGAGCAAACACTTCCTCTCTAAAGGCGCTGAATGCCAACTCCTGCGACCCAGTGAATCGGATCTGGAGCGAGATATCTGCGCTTCATCGTTTTATGAACACTGATGATCATGTCGAGGGAAACCGGTTCGAGAGATTCCTATTATGCGTGTGAGACTTGTCAGGCTCCGGCGGAACGATGTTCACGCAGCATCGGACCGTCTCGTCTGCGTCGATCAGCTGACCCGCAAGTCATCCTCGCTTGAACTTTGGAAGCGAACTTATTCTCGATTTGAGAGTTCTCCCGGATCTGACACAGAGACGGGAATCGGGATAAATCATTGGAACCGACGGGGCGGGAAGAAGGCCCCCGGAACTCGATTCCTGAACAGGGGAAGGTGCGACGCGCATCCCAAATCCCCCGCGAGCCAGCGGGGAGCAACCGTCAGGGGCTAGCTGGAACCACCGGATGAATTTATCAAACGCTCCCCACCCCCTGCATTAGGGGTCGCAATCCGTGTTCTTCGGAGGAGCCTTGTTTGCTTCGCTAGACCCCAACTCCCGCCCGTGTTCCCATAATTCTTTCCGAATCCTGCTTGCAAAATTACTGAGTCCAGTGCAGCTTCAATGTCTGGACAGGAAGATGATAGTCTACGGGCGACACTTCCGCCTCTCTTTGTTATTGACTCGAGATCGCATCTAGTGTTCGCGAGTAATCTCGGGTAACCCTCGTTAGACAGACCTACCATGACGAAAAAGCGATCGTGCTCAACCAGGTTCCAGCTCGTATTTCAAGGGGAACGAACGTCACGGAAAGGATCTTGTCTCACGGCATCACAGGCGTCATCGAATTTGTAATGACTAGAGCTCTGAAGTTCAGGCACTCAAACATCTCAGAAATGGCAGGCGGAAAGGCACTGAAAACCCTCGAAAAAGGCACCGAAACTAGGCGAAATAGGCGTTATAGGCAGGGAAACAAACGCATCGAAGCGTCCATCAGTGTCGTATTGTGAGAATTTCATGTGGTAACATGGATTCCCATCGGTGAGCAATCGACGCCGATCCGATACGAGCATTTTACAAGAACGAATTTTTTTTGGCGCGCTCTGGCGGAGCATCGGAACTTGTCGAGAGCAAGATGTGCTCATGGGAACTAGGTTCGCCGACCTCATCTCATCACCGTTCTCAATAAGAAACCCTCAGTTTCCCCCGAAATCCTCGGGATTCGGCCCATCAGAAGCTCGAAAAGGCACTCTAGGAACGAAAAAAATGAAACAGACATTACATCAAAAAATGCTGAAAAAGCAGATATAGGCATTTAAGGCATAATGCCTGAACTTCCGAGCTCTAGTAATGACCTTATGACTTCTACGTTCCTACGTAGAGAGCACGTCCTTTTCTTCGTTCCACAAGAACAAAGCCGAATCCTATCTGCCCAATCGATCGAGACTAATGCTCATTGAATTTTCCGCAGACAATTGCTGTTCACATCTGATAAACTGATGGACTCCTGCATCTCCGGCGTAATCCTCTTCCACGAGACTCTCTATCAGAAGGCCGATGATGGAACCCCCTTCGTGAAGATCCTCCAAAACAGGGGAATCATTCCCGGCATCAAGGTCGACACCGGTGTTGTTCCCCTCATGGGCACCATCGACGAAAGCACCACGCAAGGTCTCGATGATCTCGGCAAACGGTGCGCCCAATACTACAAGGACGGCTGCCGATTCGCAAAGTGGAGATGCGTACTCCGCATTCGCAAGGATGCCCCCACCGCTCTCGCCGTCCTCGAGAACGCTAACGTTCTCGCAAGGTAACCTTGGAGCCTCCTCGCTTCTCACTTAACTATTCAATCAAGCACATGGCCTTCATTTTTCAGGCCAAAGAATCTCAGCCTCTAGGGATCTTCCCGTTCTCATTCCCTCTGCAAACCGATTTAACCCGTAATGATCAACTATTAAATCGTTAATCCCACAGGTACGCCACTGAATGCCAGAAGAACGGCATTGTGCCTATCGTCGAGCCGGAGATCCTTCCCGACGGAGAGCACGACATCGTAACTTGCCAGAAAGTCACCGAGAAGGTCCTCGCCGCCGTGTACAAGGCACTGAGCGACCACAATGTCTTCCTTGAAGGAACTCTGCTCAAACCGAACATGGTAACCCCCGGACAATCCTGCCCGAAAAAGGCCGATGCCATCGAAATCGCCAAGGCCACCGTGACGGCTCTGCAGCGCACGGTCCCAGTCGCTGTTCCCGGAGTCGTCTTCCTGTCTGGTGGTCAGAGCGAAGAGGAAGCCTCTGTCAACCTTGACGCAATGAACAAGTTGAACGGCAAGAAGCCCTGGGCTCTCACCTTCTCGTACGGTCGCGCCCTGCAAGCTTCGGCGATCAAAGCATGGGGTGGCAAGGACGAAAACTGCAAGGCCGGTCAGGAGGAGTTCCTGAAGCGTGCAAAGGCGAATTCCGATGCCTCCCTTGGAAAATACGCTGGAGGCGTCAAGGGTGCCGCCACCGAAGACACACTCTTCGTCAAGAATCACCAGTACTAGTCGCAAAAGCGACTATTCCGCATCTACTGAGACATACGACGAGCGGCGAAACAGTCGAACACGATGACTATTATACAAGAATATATCGGATAGATTTAGGAAATTCAAACCTGAACGTCTATCGATTCATCTCGCATCAGCTCTAGATCCCGATTAGATCATATTAAAGATTAAATGATACCGATTTCATGGAGTAGCAATCGCCAAGTCTTTCTCACGACTCGGTGGCTGTGCTGCGAGCTGTCTCTACCCGCGGCACGAAGAGCCGCGTCAGTGGAATATCGGAAGCTATCATACAAATCGTGTGATGTGTCACCGCACAAGCGACCCGAACGAAATTTCCAGATTTTAAAATATTCATGTGTACTCTGTTTTCCGAGGACTCGTTGACACGATCATCGTTATCAAATCACTATTTAAATATCTATGTTTGTTGAATAGTGATGGACAATAAAAACCGCTAGCGATTACATCATTCTCCGATCTGTTG